TGGTTGCCCGATATGGAGACAGAGAGGTCCAGGAAGGGGAGAGAGGTATTAGAGATGGTCCAGGTAAACTTAAGGTTGGGGTGGAAGGTGTTGGTGAAGTGGATGAACTGTTCGAGCTCCTCGTGGGAGCACGAGGCGGCGCTGATACAGTCATCAATGTAACGGAGGAAGAGGTGGGGTTTAGGGCCGGTGTAGGTACGGAAGAGGGATTGTTCCACGTAACCTACAAAGAGGCAGGCGTAGCTTGGGCCCATGCGGGTACCCATGGCCACCCCCTTTGTCTGTAGGAAGTGGGAGGAATTGAAAGCTTCCGGGTCTCCCCTCCCCCTGCCGCGTCCCGGGGCCAGTCTAGCTCGTCCCCGCCTCCCTAACCTGTTCTTCCTCCCACCTATCCCCTCCTCCCACCTCAAGCCGCAACCTCATCCCGCCCCCTTGACCTGTCCGTCCTCCCTGGACTGACCTATCCCCTCCCTAACTCCCCACCTACACTCACCTTTACTGGCTCCATCCCCGCCTCTTCGACCTGTTTGTTTCCTCTCCACCTATCCTCTCCTCTATCCCTCTTCTATCCGCCTCCCACTCTCTCCCTATTTATTTCAGAACCCCCTTCCCCTCCCCCTTTTCTGATGAAGGGTCTAGGCCCGAAACGTCAGCCTCTCTGCTCCTATGATGCTGCTTGGCCTGCTGTGTTCATCCAGCCCTCTACCTTTTATGTACATCAAGTGCATCATACTTGACTCTAATCTGGCTTCCTCACAGCCAGCTCTCAAGACTGAACAGAACCTCTGACACTCCTGTTTATATCTGTCAGCCAGGGCTCCCTGATTGGATTGGGTTAATAGCTCAAATCAGGGAGTTCATATTGTATTATGTGCCCCTGGCTGACCTTGTTACAATCACTTCAAACACATTTGGATTTGTTTAGGATAGGGAATGTTAGGAACAGCAATGTTAAATTTTCACCTGAGTAGGTTTGCTTATTGGTGCTTTCCATAAGTTCATCTGTCGAACATAACTTCATGTAAAACTCCTTATTTCTAAAATTGAGTGCAAGATTCTTGCTGGCCTGAAAGGAGAGTAAATGTCAGTTCAAGAATTTCAGAAATGTGCATTTTATCTGATACTCCATAAAACATTCCCCATTATTGAAAAATAACCGGAATATATTTCAAAAGGAAATCATTCAGAGCTGAAACAGTTTGCCGAGGTCCTAAAAATTTAATAGCATCCGGTAAAATGTCAAACCGCCTTTCACACCAAACATTAGGAATGACCAAAGGAAGTTGTTTAATGGCATTAACTTCAAAGTTAAGCATTTTAATTGCAGAACTGAAAATCCACATTTACCTTTCTTAAAATTCAGAACAAAACAGAGTTAAGAAATCATTTTCAAAAAAAAAATCATTAATGGTGCCTACATTTATTGCCCATCCCTAATTGCCCAGTGGACAGCTCAGAGTCAACCACATTGCTGTGGGCCTGGAGTCATATGTAGGCCAGACCAGGTAAGGATGGTAGTTTCCTTCTCTGAATTACTCAACAATATTTTTTGACAATTGACAATGGTGACAGGCCAAAATTTTATTCAATTCAACTTTCACTATCTGGTGGGATTCAAATGAGAGCATTAGCCTGGGTTTCTCGATTACTAGTCTAGTGGCATTACCACTACACCACTGTCTCTCCTCAACATTTTATTGGAAAGGTCTCAACCTGAATAAGAACAAACTGAAAACAATATTGTAAAATAAAAGTGACATAGCACTGGTTAAAATTGGAAAGAACCAACTTACAACTGATTATATATGATAAATTATTATAAGTTATTAGTTATAAGGAGAGACCGGATAGGCTGGGACTTCTTTCACTGGCATAGAGTTTGAGAGGTGACCTTATAGAGGTTTATAAGATCATGAGTGGTATGGATAAAGTGAATGACAGGTGTATTTTCCCGAAAGTGGGGGATTTCAAGATTAGGGGGCATATTTTTAAGATGAGAGGAAGAAGATCTAAAAAGACATGCAGGGTAATTTTTTTAACACAGTGATTTGTGTGTGGAATGAACTGCCAGAGGAATTGATGGATGTGGGTACAGTCATAACATTTAAAATACATTTGGATAAGTACATGAATAGGAAAGGTTTGGAGGGATATGGGTTAAGCGCAGACAATGGGGAGTAGTTTAATTAAGGATTAGAGTTGGCATGGACTGGTTTGACCAAAGGGTCTGTTTCCCTCCTGAATGACTCTGAATAAATAAATGCATCAAAGTCTTTATCTTCATCTTCTGTCTGCACAGAGCATTGTGGCAGGTATAGCAATAGGAGGCAATGAACAAGACTGCGATGTTTACATTTCCTGCAAAACATTCTTCATTTATCATTATTTTTGGAATGCTTAAATATCCAACCAAAATATGGAAATTCAGAGCCAAGCTAGGTTCTCCTTAGCTCCCCCCTTAACGTCTCCTTGATCTGGAGATTTTGGTTTTTCTGCATTGGCCACAATCTTTAACCTCTTAAAACTGTGCAATGAGTAATATCTTCCCCCATCACTCATGGTTGCGGGAACTTGTACCTCATCTGGCATTGCCCAAGCTCAAAAATGCCTTCCCACTTCTTACAGATGTCGGCTTCTTTGCTAAATCAACCCATGCATCCTTCAAGAAACCTGATGGTCCCCGATTCCAAATGTGAGGGACATTCTGTCTCCATGTGCTGTCGTGACCTCTTACAGCAGCCTCGAGAAAGCAAGAATTTATGCTCCTTCGCCAAGAAACCAGTCATAGAGTCATGCAGCACAGGAGGCGGCCATTTGGCCCATTATGTCTGTACTAGCTCTTTGTAAGTGCTATATGATTAGTCCCACACATCCTGCTTTGTCTCCCTTGGTAAATGTTTCACTTCCAAGCCTTTTACTTTCTTTTCAAAGTTGTTATTAAGTCTGCACTCTACACTGTTGTTTGGCAATTATGTGGGTTGGTCTTTGGCGAAATGGTTGGTATCAGGTCGACGGCCTGTTGTAGTCTACACTTTATATTTCACTTGATTAATTATGGGGGCAGGGACAAGTTTCATTTTGTGACTATACAGAAAATTCTATTTGGAAATTAATTTTGGATACACTGTTAGTTGAAAGAAATTATATTCCAGCAGATAATTATAATGGAAAAAGTAATCCTCACAGATATCGAACATTACTTAAAATATGTACTTTTAAAAATTCCAGCATAATTATAATAATCAGTCAGAGAGTCCAGTCTCAGTGGATTTCCTCCTCCATACATTAGATCCAATTAGTCAAAGAGTTATACAGCACGGAAACAGTCCCTTTGGTCCTACCAGTCCAAACCGACCATAATCCCTAACTAAACTAGTCCCACCTGCTTGCACTTGGTCTATGTCCCTCTAAATCTTTCCTATTTGTGAACACATCCAAATGTCTTTTAAACGTTGTAATTGTACCTGCATCCACCACTTCCTCTGGCAATTCATTCCATACACGAACCACTCTGTGTAAGATATGATTGCTCCTCAAGTCTTTTTGCAAAATCTTCCTTCTCTCATCTTAAAAATATGCCCCCTGGTCTTGAAAACCCCCACCCTGGGGAAAAGGCACCTGCCATTCACCTTATCTACATCCCTCATGATTTTATAAACCTCTATAAGGTCACCCTCAACCTCTTGTGCCCCAGTGAAACAAGTTCCAGCCTTTCCAGACGCTCTTTATAACTTGAACCTTCCATTCCATAAACATTCTTATGAGGAAAGGAATAAATGAGTTCAGGGAGGGCCATTGTGACACTTTGGATATTGTGACAGTTCTCCTCCTCATGACTCCACAGATACAGCATGGTCAAGTTGGAGATAGGGTATGAGGGAAGGTCCCAGTCAGGCGGTAACAGCTACTGAGGAGCTTTGAAGGGAATGTGTCACCTCCTGCTTCCCTCATCTCAGACCAAACTCGGTCTCGTGGCTCAAAGCAGGGGTCAAGACCCTCACTTGTGTAAATCAATCCTAGAGGTCTTTTTACAATGCTGCCAGGAATGCATAAAATATGGCCCTGATCAAACTTGAGCTCAGAGACTTTTCAGCTTTAGTTGCAGTGCGGGACATTATTTCCTGAAATCAGGGGTCTTGGCATCTGTGCTATAAACAAGGAAATAGATGCAGCCAAGCCCCACTCTTACTCCTGTGTCTGTATGCCACTTAAAAGAATGACCACCACTTTTCCCCAAACAAACTGACTTAGCAGTCTATTTGAACAAAGCAAGCTCCCACAAAAAGCAGAGACTGTCCAAGGCAGAGAGATTTCTTTCTTTGCATTGATATTTTCCGTCACTTAAAATTAACTTCTTACATAGATTTGTGATCTAGCTACTAATTAAACCGACAAGAAAGGCATCTGTCAGACAAAGTGTCACTTTTCAGCTGAGTACAAACGGGTACAAACATGCATTTAAACTCAATTTAATTCTCTGTAGCACCCTCAAAATTATTCTGCAATTTAGTATTTTCCACTTAAACATCATGGATATTGGAATTATAGGGGGGGAAAGGCCATGTTTACTACACAACTTAATATTGCGATCACATGGAATTAATTTGCTGCCTTCATTAATAGACTTGCCACTTCACTAGCTTAGACAATGAGGCCTGGGTTTCAGCTTGGAGATTCAATACATTATCCAACGATATAATCTTACTTCACTTTTGGCCTCTTTCTCTCGACATGCATTATAAGCATAATTGATGCAAATGGTGTTTCGTCGCATCTTCTTCCTCATTCGACAGGGGCCCTCAGCCATGTCCAGTATCCATGCACCCTGCTGTGACCCTGATGAAGGACCCCATAATCCTCTCTCTCGAAGCAGCTGTTGTTCCATCTTCGCCCAGTCTTTCGACGTTTGGTTCAGAATGCACTGCTGCATCTGGGGACAGAAATGAAAAGCCTCAACAGATGGTGCCTACACTGTGTACAGCTGGCCGCCCAATTGTTCCTCTAAACACATGCTTTCTCCTTTTTTATTTGTTGTGTTTGTTGTGCTGGATTACAAAGATTTCAGGTGAGTAGCTTGCAGCGTTGGACCGATAATCAAGAAGGGTTTACGTCATAAACATTTAACAAATGCTGCAACTTCCAAGAAAAGCCATTGGCCTCTCTCAAAATTCACAAAGCTGCTGCCTACGCACAAAGTTGAAAGTTAAAGAATAAATACAGGAACCTGGGGTTTGGGGGTCCCTCAGCCCTACTGAAATATCACCACTGCCATCATGTAGGAAGCAGGGCTGCCAATTTGCACATAGCAAGCTCCTACAAATAACATTGGTTGGATAATCTACTTTCAGGATGGAGGTTGACGGATAAACATTGGCCAGGGCAGCGGGGAGACAGCTCTTCAATTGTGCCACAGGATTTTTTACATCCACATGAAACGGCAGATGGGTCCTTCATGAGAAAGACGACCTCACCCACAGTGTAGCACTCCCACAGTACAGCAGCAGACAGTCAGCCCAGATTTTGTGCTCATATTTTTGGAGTGGGGCTTGACTATAACCTTCTAACTCTGAGGTCAGAACACGACCAACAAAACCCCAGCTGACACCTCAATTTTGCTTTTGACTGGCTATTTATTGAAGAATAAGGTAGCTTATGGACTTAAAATGCAATATGTTGGCACACGCTGGAGTCAAAGGTTATGAGAAGCCATGTCAACTACTCCTGCTCTTTCTTCTTATGTTCTGTATTGTAATGCAATAATTAAACATGGAAAATGCTGCCATTTTAGATGATGAATTGCACAGTAACCATTTCTTGGTTATTATGGAGCTGTTGACCCATTCCAATTAGACAAGTGATGCCTCTCTTTACACTGTTATGAATCCAATTCAGATGCCAGAATTAAATCTGGCTTGATTGAGCAATTTTTTTTTAATGTTGGTTAATGTGGTCTTGGGACTCTAAAACACGTTCATAAAAGGCTTCAGAAGCTCTTCAACAAAAGAACCCAAGCTGATTACACCAAAAAGAAAGCAAACCAAGCTCTACAGACATAGAAGACATTTTAAAAAGACCGAAACTTTGTTCTTTGTTTAAGTTTACACTGGTTTCACAATACTGTTCTAAGAAACTGCAGTTCAGAGATATTATATTCCTATCTCAACTCTAGAGGTTTCCACATAAATAAGGGAATGTGATGGCTTGGTGATATTACCACTTGTCTGTTAGTACCAAGATCCAGCTAATGTTCCTGGGGCCTGGGTTCAAATCCCACCATGGCAGATGATAGCATTGGAATTCAATTTTTAAAAAAACCTGGAATTAAGAGTCTAATGATGACCATAAAGCCACTGTCGATTGTCAGAAAAATCCCAATTTGTTTATTAATGTCCTTTACAGAAGGAAACTGTTGTCCTTACCTGGTCTGGCCTACATGTGACTCCAGATCTACAGCAATGTGGTTGACTCTCAACCACACATTTGGTAATTAAGGATGGACGTAAATGCTGGCCTAACCAGCAATGCCCTCATCCCATGAATGAATAGGAAAAAACTGACTCTAAGCATTTTGCAGAGTCTAGCAGGGATGTCTGAACTTCTGTTTTCTAATTCACTCATGGGACATGGGTATCATCATTATTTATAGCCCATCCCTCATTGCTGTTGAGAAGGTGGTGGTGAGCTGCCTTCTTGAACCGCTGCAGTCCATGTGCTGTAGGTTGACCCAAAATGCCCTTATCAAATGGAAGCAGGGAATATGTGGTTGTTGTATGTTAATTGAGTGACAATTGTATGGGAACTTGACTGTTCTTTAATATTTGAAGAACAATTTTAGTATAGCTGTAATTTTCTGTTGTGTAAGTTGAAATAAAATTCTGACTTGAAACATATATGCCTGGAATGTGTTTAACTGGCCTCTGACTTCTGGCGTTTAACAATGGTTATTGAGGAGGGTTAGCTGTTTGTCTGTCAAACATTGAAAATTAAACATTTTTCTAACCAAAGCATGATCTGGAGAAAACTTCAGCAAGGTAGTCCTATAGAAGAATACATAATGGAATTCAGTAGATTGAATGAAAGACTGCAGAAGTTCTATTTGAAAATTCCCCATTTAAGTTATTCCACTGTGCCAAAACATTGAGCTAAGATAAACTTCTAGTTTTGGACAGAGTTAATTTTTCAGATAAATAAACACTTAGAGAACAAATGTCAGAAGCATAAGAAACGTTTCTTTCCAACGTGTTCATTAGTACAAGTGGAGAAATCAGTCCTATGAGAGAAACGGAGAACACAATGTTAATGGATTGTCTACAGGTCATCGGTGACAGTAAACAAGAGAATCTTGGCTAATACAAATGCTTTTGACAACTTTGACAGGCAGAGAGTATTTGAGACTTTCAATAGAAGAATGAGCACTAGAAACACCCAGTGTAGTCAATCAGTGTTTGGGGTGTGATTCAAAGTATCACAGCATAGGGGTCCCGTAAGGACCTACTGACAAATCGGTTTCCGCTTGAAGCTTGTGAAGACGTTAGTTCCTCAAGGGAGTTTAGTCACTACCAAGTTCGTGGCATCATGAGCAACTCAACTGTCCAGGAGATGAGGCAGAAGTACGTAGGAACAATAGGGAGACAGGATGATTCAGTCAGGGGAATAGACAGGCACTTCTGTGGCTATAGGTGTGACTCAGGATGCTAAGTTGTGTCATTGGTGCTAGTGTGAGGGATGTCACAGAGCAACTGCAGGAGACTGTTCTGGGGGAGGGTGAACAAACAGAAATCATGGTCTGCATCGGTACCAGTGGGAAGGGTGGATGCGATCCTACAATCAAAATTTAAGCGAGCTAGGTAGAAGATTCACAAGCAGGGCCACAAATGTTGAAATCCCGAGATCACTCCTAGTACCATGTGTAAGTGAGGACAGAAACAGGAGGATAAGGCAGATGAAAACAGAAATTGCTGGAAAAGCTCAGCAGGTCTGGCAGCATCTGTGGAGAGAAATTGGAGTTAACATTTTGGGTTGAGTGACCCTTCCTCAGAACTGGTGGTGGCTCGGAAAATGTCAGTTTATATGCAGAAAATATGTTTTGGGGGGTGGGGGGGGTGGGTGGGTGCGGTGGGTAAGGAGTAAACCATATGTGGGGATAGAGCCCAAAAAGAGAGAGAAGAACAGTTGGACAGACAAGGGAATGGATAACGATCTGGCTGGGAGAATGAATAGCTACTAATGGGGACTGTTAGTGGCTAACGATGGGTTGTGTGTAATAGCAGACTATGTGATAATGACGCCTGGGTGTGTGGAGGTTGGGGTAAGGACAGGGGAGACCTCAAGCCCTAAAGTTGTTGAATTTGATATTGAGTCCAGAAGGCTGCAGGGTCCCCAAGCAGAAAATTAGATGCTGTTCTTCCAGCTTGTGCTGAACTTAAGCTCTGATTTCTCTCCACAGATGCTGCCAGAGCAGCTGAACTTTCTCAGCAATTTTTGTTTTTGTTTCTGATTTACAGCATCCGCAGTTATTTTGGTTTTTATAAGGCAGGTGAATGTGTAGCTGGAAGGAAGGTGCAGGAGGGAGGACTTTCAAAGCCTGGGACACTGGGACTTTCTCTGGAGAACATGTACAAACCAGGTGGGTTGCATCTGAACAGAGCTGTGACTGAAACAATTCTAATTTCAAGCATCCGCAGTTCTTTGGTTTTTATTTTGTTTAGAGTTGGGACTGAGTTTCTTGCAGATCGTTTTGCTTGTGCTGTTGGAGAGGATAACTCAACAGGGGCGTAGGAATCAACAGAGAACATTAGATGGGAACATCAGGGTGCACAAAATAATTGATGATACAGATACCACTGATATACAGAATAGGAAGTCAATATATGAAGTTGGTGTAAGGGAGAAAGAAATGTCTAATTGTCTAATTCAGTTCTGAGGAAGGGTCACGGGACCCGAAACGTTAACTCTTTTTATCTTCACAGATGCTGTTAGACCTGCTGAGCTTTTCCAGCAACTTTGTTTTTGTTTCTAATTCAGGGTTACTGTATGTCAAAGCACGGAGCATAGCAAAGAAGACTGGGGAGTTACAAACTAAATAAAAACTGAAAGAAATGCAGATGCTGTAAATCAGGAACAAAAAACAGAAGCTGGTGGAAAAGCTCAGCAGGTCTGGCAGCATCTGTGAAGAAAAACTTAAGATTTAATGTTTCGGGTCCATTGACTCCTCCTGTTCTGGGGAGTTACAAGTGCTGATTGCTATGTGAAAATATGATGTTCTGGTGATAACCGAGATTGGGCTCAAAGAAGGGGTACGGCTGCGTGTTAAATATTCCTGGGTGTAAGGTTTTCAGGAAAGATAGAAAAAGGAAGGAACAGGAGATGGGTGATGGTATTGGTTAAGGAGTACATTGCAGTGCTGGAGAATGAAGCTATCCCTGAGGGTTCAGGGTCACAATCAAGCTGGCTGGGGCTAAAGAACAAAAACTGGGTGCAATTGCATTATTCAGTAAAATCTAAAGATCATGCAATGGTACCTGGCAGTTCTCTTTGTGGAGACTGGCAAACAATTCTTGTCCAGTTTTCCTTTGCCCATCCATAGCAGTGGTGAAATCCTACAGAGAGACAGAAGAGTTACAGGCTGTGTCAACCAGCAGGAAAACAGAGATTTAAAGAATAACTAGACATGAGTGGATGGAAATCTCTTACTGAAAACTAGGAAACAATCAAGCAGTCTGGGCCTTCTCTTTGGAGGTCCATGCAAAATTGCATGCCCTATCTCGTCAAGCCCTGGTTCAGAGTGTCCTAGGCAGTAGGCAAACATTTCCGGGCCTTGAACACTATTTCAATGCCGACATTACAGCGCAGTACCAAAGGAGTGCAGCAATATCAGGTATGCTGCTTTCTGCCTGCTATACTTATCCAAGGCCACGTTCAGTCTCTCAGGTCAACATGAAAGATCCTATGATGATAAAAATTTCAAAATAAAAGTCATAGAGCTCTTCATGGTGCCCTGCCTAATATTTATCCCTCAACCAGCTAAAAGATTGTTTCGCCATTATCGTGCAGCTAGCAGAGGGAATTTGTTCAGCTGCTTTCCATTACAACTGCAAAAGAAATTGCAGCAGGAGGAGGAGATGACAGGTCTCCTCAAACCTGCTCTATCATTCAGCAAGATCACGGCTGATCTCTGACCATGACATGTGCTCCCTCTCCCTTCTATCCCTACGATTCCCTTCACGCTGTGCTCTACAAACCCTTCCCCAGTCTGGTCCTATTTTAGGGCCTCAGGTGCCATCTGATCCCAGAGGGTGGGGTTTGGGGCAGAGGGCTTCAGCTGCTGAGTGGGAGACCATGACTCTAACTTGAGCCTGTTCAACCAGCCCATTTTACAACAGTGACAACTCTACTTCATTTCATTGTAAAGCATTTTGAGATGTCTCAAAGTCTACATGTTGCAAATCTTTCTTCTTTTATAACACCCAAGAGACAGGTGGAAATACATCTCACACCACAAGAATACAAACTGACTGAAGTTCTCTGTCCCTAAACTACATATGCTAATCCCAAAGAATGTAAAGTCATTCTATTAATATGTACATCACAACACCTCTAGACTTGCATTAATATTGTAAATGCCACATTCATGGATGAACCAGCACAAAGCTAAACTTCAAGAATGACTCCAGGGAGGTTAATATACAAATAATCATAGAATCGCACAACAGCTACATCATATGACTCAAGAATGTGGCCAATTCTAAATGTGGCATCCAGCTCTCTACAAGAATAACTCAGCCACTTACCCCATCTACCCACCTGCCCAGGATGTCTGCAGTCAATGTAAATGAAATCAAACTTTTTTTTTTACATGCAATACAATATTCTCTATGTCACATTTAATAACAGGCTTTCAGGGTTAAACTTAGTTTAATGTTTTTGACGTATTACCAACATTACTCACATACCTCTGTGTCCTGGTGGAGTTAGAAAATAAAATAAAACAGCTTTATGCTTAGCATGGGACGCATTTTACAAGGTGTGCTAGGATTAAGAAACAATGGAGTGTGTGGATTTCACTAATCCAAGTCCTCCATAATTTGGAAAATATTAATCAAGTCACTTATAGCAATAAAGTGATCCTGGAGTTCTTGTGAGGGTAGTAACTATGGAATTTTAGAGGGACTTAAAGCCATGATGCAGAATGTTTAGAAGAGATTGAGTTAAGGTAGGTGCATACTGCTGTCTCCAAGTTGTGACTCTGGTATCATTTTTGTGTGCATTTGATGTACTGTGACTTAGTGGATGTGTGCACACCAGGTCAAAATTGAAGGCAGAATTAATACAAGCGATGTAAGTGTACCTCTGTATGTCTGTAATCCCTTGATTGTAGAGTGTGATATATCCAAGTACTTGTATTCAGTTAAACAATATAAACTTAGAGACCCATGAACACGTTCTAGAATCATAAGGAATGATGTCTCAATACAGGCCAGATTCTGCATTTCTACAGCTGATACTTTAAACATCAGAGCACATACGTAGCAAGAGCCATTAAACCTGCTGCCTCAGAAAGGCGGCCAACATAATCAAAATCCCCTCCCACCCCAGTTATAATCTCTTCCAACCTCATCCATCAGGCAGAAGGTACAAAAGCTTAAATACACGGACCAACAGATTCAAAACAGCTTCTTCCTTGCTGTAATTAGACTTCTGAATGGACCTCTCAAATTTTACATTTATTGTTGATCTCACTCTCTGTGCACCTTCTCTGCAGCTGTAACATTGTATTCCTCATTCTGTTCTATTACCCTAATGCACTTTGCATGGTATGATCTGCCTGTACTGCATGCAAAACAAAACTTTTCTCTGTAGCTAGGTAGAGGTGACAATAATAAATTAAATCAAGCAAACAGGAAAGCAAACCAACAACCCGTGCCACACATAACATACGTGTTTACCCATTTCCTTAAAAATAGGACACGTAAAACAATCGCATTCAATTTGCGCGGAAGTCCTGTTTTTAGGTCTATTCTTAACATTACACAAGGATAAAACAATTGGACCATTTCAATTACAATGAAACACAAGTATTCCCAAAAAATGCAGAACTAAAAATTTTGCAATGCAACACTGCATTCAATGTAAAACACAGTATGTTACATGTGTGAGAAAAAAAATGTGACAATCTTGACTATGTTCTAATTTTGACATGCATTCTTTTTTTAGTACAGTGGTTTTCTATCAGTGACAAAGCAGACACAAATACAATTATATCTACCCTGCTGTGAGGAAATATAGAACATGGTTGGTCCAGATGCTTGCTGGAGAATGGCCAACTCCATATACCCCACTGTTCAGTTATAGTCATTAGCAGCGCACAGCAGGAAATGCCTGCGCAACGTGAAGGCAGTGATTATACTTTGTTTGTTTACAGGATCATTAAGCTTTTAGTCACAGCAATGCACTGACAAAACATTATTGTTACTTAACTGAAACTCTCACGGAATTAACCCATCAAACAAATACGAACACTGGGCCATGGAAAGGCCTGTGCAGCTACGTTGATAATGTCACTCAAGGTCATTCCTAGTTACAGAGCCACTCAATCATTTTTGCTGATGAAGTATCATTATAGCTTGTTTGCTGCCACTAAACTGATAATGTCAGAGCACTTCCTACTTTAAATTTAAACTGATAGCTTCATAATGTAACATTTGTGTGTTTCAGGAAAGTTAAAGTGGAAACAAAGGAGTATTGGCATAGAAGGCTCTTCTGCCACTGTCTTTTGATAAAGTATATTGAAAAAAAAAATGTCTCTACATCAAATCAGAGATGGCTCAACTTCAGACCTCGACCCCACACGGCCCCAGCTTCAGTGAGAACCACAATCCCATCTATGACCCTCATGCAATTCAGTTCTGTTTGTGTTAACAGCAGTATGTAATGCCCCCCACTCCTAGTACATGGTCGCATGGGGGAATTTAATCAGACCAAAGGGCAGTAAGGAGGGGAACCCACCTTTTCTCTGATTAAGTCCATTGATGGCCTTCTTGCCCCATTAGCAATTGAGGCTATACAGGCCTCTTCTCACCACACTGGTATTCCCCAGCACCAGGGTGGGAGACTCAACATGCGGGGAGCATGGCTCACCATGCAGGAAGCAAACCCTCATGGGCAGCCCAGCGGCTCAGTGGTTAGCACTGCTGCCTCACAGCGCTAGGGACCCAGGCTCGATTCCACTCTCAGGTGACTGTCTGTGTGGAGTTTGCGCCTTATCCTAGTGTCTGCGTAAGTTTTCTCCCACAGTCCAAAGATGTGCAGGGTAGGTACATTGGCTGTGCTAACGAGTTGACCACTGCTCGAGACAGTTTCTCTTAAGATATATTCCTTTTCACCTACAGGCAACGGCCATCAAGATAGAAACATTCTCATCATGTTCTAATCATGGGATCATACTGTGAAATGAAATACTCTGTTTACACCTATTTTTGTAGCGAGTAAGCCAGCAATCTATGATTGATAACATTTATGAAACAGTCAGTTCAGAGTGTGGCTAGGAAGCAACACACAATTCTGTCTAGCAACAAGGGAGAAGCTTATTGCAAGGTTTTGATAGGTCACACAGGACAATTTGTGGGCTACTGCAGAGGGATTCAAGGTACAGTCAGGAGGGTAGAGGTGAGAATGAGGGAAGTGTAGGCTCCACTTTAGAAAAATTATGGTTAGCTGTAGTGCTGGAGAAACAGCTAAATTAAATGGATGTGGATTCAGAGAGGAGTCAGATGGCTCTGTGATGTTATAACGGTGCAAGGAGCCATTCTGGGAGTTAGTAGGTAGCTAAGTGTCAGAATCAGGGCTCGGATGTAGTCCTGGGGAGTTGAAAAAGTCAGTCTGTGTTGGGTAAAGCCATGACGAGCTCAGAAGAAGCCTTCCAGCATCTGAGGTAACATACGATTGACATAGCTGAAGAAGATTGAAGCCTGTGGGAAAAACTTGGTGAAGCCAGTTGTTGGTGAAGTGTTGGAGTTCTACTTGTAAAGGTTGTACTGGAGACTACAGGGAACTGTCAAAGTACAGGGAACTTTCAACCCAGGAATGTAGGGTGGGCAACCAGAAAGAGAAGGGTCAGTGAGGTAGTTCATAATGGAGGGATCCTTGAGGAGTTTCAAAGTCAAATCAGGATTGAAAAATTGTGATTGCTTCCAAAATTTAATGAGATTTGATCATCCACCGTGTCATTGATGTTTATTACACAGTTTCTTACCCAAATGAACCACACGTTCATTCTGGGTGTGAGACTAGAAGTTCCACATATTGTGGATTGGACGGAAGTTGTATGGCAAAGCTTACTGCTGTTTGTTCAAAACAATGGAATCTTGCTGCTTTATTCTCTTAGGAATTCCCCCAGTCATACTTTGACTACTTAAAAACGACAGCCATGCATCCCTAGCTAGATCATAACAGAAGTTTATCACATTCTAACATAATTGTCATTGTAAATCAGCCTATCTTCATTTATCATAAGGAACACCAGTAGGAATTATCCGAGCAATATAAAAGTGTTCAAAATGCTGGATGGTTCAGTAATGCTTCTGTACTCAACGAATACTCGCTCATATGGTGCTTCCATATTAGTATCATCCCTTTCCTAATCGTTACTCAAAAGTCAATTATAACAATCGTTATTCATTACTTGAATTTTCATGGCAGCTTCAGTGCTGCTCTAAAAATGTCCTAGTCCTACTATGACTGTAAAATACCTTCATTTTCATATTGGAAAAGAAGGTTAAACATTGCACCAAGACTTTCTCCAAGGAACTTACGTTGTCCTCAAAGAATGTGTGAGAATTAGACAGCATAATCGTCATCCAAAACATTTAATGCACTGTTATATGGTTTCGACATGTTCAAAAAACATGCAACATAATTCAGATTGCAGTTACTCAAAATGTGTCCAGGCAAATGTCGTGAAATCATACTGCAGATTCACTTGGAGTGCTGAATACCTGTAGCTAGTGACAAAGCAAAAGTTTAATAATGTTACGGGAGAGGTCACTGAACCCTTACTACTCCTCTCACCCAGGTTTGTCAGCTTTCTGTTCTTGTCTTGTTTGTGGTCTCCTTCCTTGCTAGGCTTTTGATCTATTTTCACAAACGGACTTCCTTCCTCAGCAACTGACTACCCGTAGAAATTTCACCTTTTATCCCTGGTTCCACTTGTGATTTTGGATAGCTCATTAGAATTTTAAAAAAACACTCACATTCATTTTGACTGCTTTGGTTACATTGACAGTTCTTTTAGTATCTTTCTTCAGCTGACTAAATGCAACATCCAGAATAGCACCTAATCATACGTCCTGACTTAGATACACATCTCAGGTTCCTCATTGTTAAATGGGTCAAAAGTTGGTGCTGAACCACTTTGGGTGAATCACCACCACAAGAACTGCAATAGTCAAAAGGACAATTTCCATCAACATCAACCTTCACAGGGCAACTAGTATTGGATGATAATCACATCTCAATGATAAAGTTAAATAAAGTAAAACAACTACATATCCATGGCAAGAATAGCCTCCTTTCACATTGTAACTATTTTATGGTTGTCTACCTTCCTGACAAGATTACATTAACTCCCTCAAGCTCTCTCTCCCCTACATCATCAACTCAACATCCACATAACAAATAAAGGCAAATCTCTGTGCATGCTGGAAATCTAAAACAAACAGAACTGTGAAGAAATTCAGCGGGTGTGGCAGCATCTGTGCAGGCAGAAACACAGAATTAATATTTTTCAGTTTGTTACTGGCTCTTCTTCAGAACTCTTCA